TATGATGTTTAATATTTTCGGTCTTGTAAAGTTTGAAGCTTTTCATATCACAAATTCTTGTCAAACGGCTCAAGATTTGACCTAATACAAACTATCAAATATTTTACGTTGTTTAAAAATCCATAGCAGTAATTTTGAACTGTAAAATTAATCAAAATAGTCTGTAGCTGTTCACGTGTAATTTATTAAATATATTATAATTTCACTTGAGTGTGGTGTTAGTGGTGAAGACGGATCACGACGTGTCCACTGTAACAAAACTAAGGCAGTATTAACCAACTCAGCATTGTACAAAATAAACAGAAGCTCTTGCAATGTCTTTCACTGAGGTAAGAATTATAACTACAAAAAGTGTCTTCAACTCTTCAAACCTCATCTAAATATTGTACAAAATTCAGTTGCTAGCCCACAGAGAACATGCACAGCAGTTGCTTAATGCTGTATAGGGAAATAATTAGCATTTATTGTGAGAATCATAGGAAGCATACTACTCATGAACTGTGAAAGCAAAATGGATACTTCTTCTATTGTTAGCAGGCGATAATAACAGTCACCACTCCAGGCAATAGATCAGGTGATAAATAAATTACCTGCCTATTATGGAACCTGCAGACCTATTACTGTGTTCACAAGAGTTTGGCAATGTATAGTTCACATTCATCAACTACACAGCTACCCTAGTTCTCAAATTATATTACTGGAAACATTTTAGTGTCCATGTGGATATTCTAATTTAAGAGAGACCGGAATTTCTGCCCCTTTTCCTGTGCATCTGCATCTGACTTATTTAAATGTACATGTCCTTGTGCCTTTGTATTTCAGTTCTGGTTTTGTATGAGCTCATACATTTTGAAGAGTACATCTTTTCGAGATGTGCTGTGCAGTCTGGTAAAAGTTCACTGACCTATGGAAGAATATAGTGCCTCCATCTTCAGGATTGAAGATATGGTAAACAGCTTGTTTGGCCTATTCTTCAGCCATGAAGATGAAAGCAATATATTGATACTTCTAGTGGACTACATGGTGTCACATCTCAGAAGATGCTGCTCTTAAGAGCTGCAGCACATTTTCTGTGAGGTTGGAAGAGAATTTTCTAATTTTGTTTAGATGAATCTTAGGCTTCAGATGGCCAGTGTCCCCCTGCTGTGCACTTGATGTGTACCCTCAGGGCTGACTGGAAGTTCCACTTAATTAAATCATGCTGAATGTTTGGAAAAACATGCTGTCACACAGATGGCCTTATCTTTAGGAGGGACTATGATCCTTCATGGGATCATCACATTAAACTGGCATATGTGTTTCTCAGGGCCTCCAGCAGAGGGTCTCATCAGTTGACCTGTAACGACTGTAATCTTTGATCTTAGTGACACTAGAAGATCAATGAAAAAAGTAGTACAAACTCCTCATTATTACTAAGTCACATCACAAATTTTCACTTTGAGCTAATTTCGGGACCCCTTTCATGGTAGGTGTTTTGTGAGTACTGGCTAATGTTCTCCATGTGAAATGCATACAAAATTTTAGTCTCAAAACCAAAAAGGAAAAGACCACTTGGAGAACCCAGTCATAGAAGGGAGGATAATATTAAAGCATATCTTAAAGAAATACAGTGTGTGGGTGTGGACTTGAGTCACTTGTTCTAGGTATGATCCAGTGAAGAGAATGAACCTTTGTATCCTATGAAAAGCAGTTGGGTCCAGTAGGTTATCAGGATGTTGGATAAGGAAAGTCAATCTCCATGTCGTTATCCTTCCCTCACTTTTGGATTTCCGGAAGATCATCTTTCTTAATCATTTATTATGTTGTCATTAGCACAGAGTACAAAACCTGAAATGGTATGATAATTACTGAACACAGAAGTAGAAACTACAAATCATGACCTAATTTGAGGAGCTATTCCAACATTTGCCTGCAGGGACTGAAGAAGTTCAGGTTAGCCAGAGTTTGAACCGAGCACTTCAAAAATACACGTTTGAAGTTTTACTGCTACACCAGCCTGCTCACTGAAACTTCAGATGTACATATATCATTTTTAATTTGGTTAAACAGCGTTTCGAACGACTACAGGGCTGACATCCACAGTTTTCAGTCTGATAAATGTATAATGTTGCTGCAATATTCAGTTTCAGTTCTCATTGGCCACGTTTCCTTCAGGGACTCACAGCAGTGACTTCCGGAATGTGACGCCGTGTATTCCGATAGAAGTTTGTCGACGTTTCAGAAGAACACACTGCCTCCATCGTCTGAGCCTTAGTGTAAGCCAAGCATTGCTTGTTGCCTGCTTCTTTCTGGCTACTTGCTTGGCTTTTATTCTGCAACCCTGAAGACGGAGGCGTTCCCACGAAACGTCAGTGAACTTATACCGGCCAACATGGCGTTACATCGCAGGAACACAAACTTCCCAAAATCGCACGATGCGTTGTGTTTCTGCAACGAGTGTGCCAAGTTATGTAGAGGCTCAACAAGAAGTCGCTTAGCAACATGAATACTTCGCTTGAAAACTGACGTGACCGAGTATGTTTTATGGACGTTTCGCGTCATCTCGCGACAGAGCAACAACAACAACATGACGTCTGTTCATTAGAATATATGCGCATGTTTATCTCGCGGGGTCAGCTAAAATGCTGACCCCTTCTTTGCTGGGGGTAATGTTGAAAGCTATTAAACTTCGGGGGAACCCAAGGGTTATCTGCTTGTGGCATTGCTCTTTCGATAAACTCCTAACTTCACGATTATTACGTAATTCGCCGTTGTTTAAACTTGCTTCTCAAGAAGGAGTCAACTTCATGGAGTCAATTTGTTTCTCCCTATTTCGTCACTGCTTCGTGGGTAATTTACTAATGATTTTTCACAGACTGATCAGTCGCAACTGGAAACCTGTAAAAACCGAAAGTCTTTAGAGAGGCGATGCCACGGTGAATCGGAATTTGCCCTGAATGACCGAGGAAAGCAGCAGAAATCCTAAGCCATCAGTGCTTGCTGCGCTGATGGATGCAGGGCACAGAAGAACTCTAATGCACTCAGGTATCACCGAGTGGGTGGCTCATACGAAACGCTCTCCATCTTCAGGGCGCAAGATGGAGGCATCAGGCTCATCGGAAACTTCGTAACTGTCTAAAAATAACGCTAAGGACGTCACATGCCCAGAAGACAGCAATCGCTATAATGAGCAGTGAAGCTTGGCCGGGAATTGGGCGTTTCCGGTGCTTTTCCTCACGCCATCCAAGCAGTTGCTGGTACGGCACCTCACATTAGGACACATTAGGATCCTTCCGCGTCCCTTCCAGTTCATTATTCGCCAATCATTGTATCATTCGACAGGGTAAGACACTTACAGCGTTGCTAAATACACCACAAACACTTCAATATCGACATTCGGACTAAACAATAACTGAAAACGCTGAAAACTCTTATATTACCCCCTCCCCTATTGTAGGCAACACCCTCCATGTACAGCAGTGGTATTATAATTCGTTCATCCCCGCCAGGTCCTCCGTGTAATTTGATGAGTTTGCAACCACAAGAACTACGAGAAGTGACACAGAGGGTTTCAGTTTTGTTACTTTGGTAGAATGGTTGGCGTTTCGTCTGAATCATGGCTTATGACATCTTTATCGTTGATTAAATGTTCGAGGACGATTTCCGGTTTTACATGCCAATTGCGAAGACATCTGACAAAGTAGGCAGCGGGAATGTTAACGATCTAGAAATAAATATACGAGAATGATCCGTTGAAATCAACGGGTATTAAAAATTAATATTTATATCAGTTCTACCTAATTCCAGAACATTAATAGTATCAGTACCAATAGCACTTGGACAGTAATCTACTGAACTGGTCTAGATCCCTGTTTGGAAATTCTATTCAAAATCTATTGCGCAGCTCACAGAAAGTAAATAATATGGTGCACGGAAAAAAAAGACTGTTCTCTCGTCGTGACCTACTGTATAAGCCCACTTCTAGTACAGCGAAAACTTACTGCAACTCTGCCAGGTCTGGAAATGTGAGTACAAGCTGGTAGCTATCACAGAGTTGTGTTTAATGAAGTTATTTTCACACCTTGACACATTATAATTATTGTTCCCAACAATAAACCTGCACTGCAATAATTTTCTTCCCAATGCGCTCTAATCCGTCTCCGGCAAATTGTGCTAGAGCTTATGGTCCCGAATCTGAAGAGTCTCCAATTAAACGCCGTGGCCTGTAGTCCGCAAGTGAACTATACCGACCGAGCGACCGCCGCTTGTCGGCGAAGTTAGTGCCAACTTTAGCGGATAGAGGGTGTCGCGTGGTCAGCGCAACAGATCCCCACGGCCGTTAATTTCAGTTTTCTAGACGAAAAGTCACCAATTACCGAGAAAAAAATAATCGACGAGAAAAGCATAACATTCAATAGTAAAACATGGAAGATAACGGCTGAGTATATGTCGTCAGATTGGAATGACTGAAGCAATACGTACACGGGAAATCCTGCGATAATCATAAAAATAAATTTGCGGGAGGCATCACTCCTTGTGTTCAGTTCTGGTGCAGCTGCATGATTGTTGCGAAGCCGATGGCCTTGATTTATTTGTCCATATCGGCATACAAGAACGATTATTTCATTCTTACTCAGTACTCTTACAGCACACAGTAATTTAATTTTACCAAAATACGGCATTTCTCTAAACCAATATTTTGTTACATTTTCGTTAACTTATCTTGTCATAAATATTGTCTGTGTAATTATCTGAACAGAAATATTTAATGCTTATTAATAACCATTCTTTTAACGTTTTAAAGGTTATCGGTCCTCATCTGTATCGTAGCCTAGGATATCGCTATGACTTGATCCGGCCTAATTGCGTCCAGTGCGTTTTTGGCTCATGAGGAGCCCAATCTCTTTACTGAATTTCCCGCTAAGAAATACAATGGCTCCGATTGGCCCGTGGGGTAACTGACTACATTCAAGAAAAATAAATTCTACTCTTGCATTGGTTGGAGCAATTGTGATTGAAGAATGAGAACGTCCGTCTGTGATGGCCATTGTGACGGAGCGAACAACATTTAAAGGCTCGAAATTATAATATTTTGCTAGGAAATACTCTGTGTGGATCAGACGTGATATTTGCCAGTGTGCACGGCTCACGATAATCCGTTCGTTGTCGAAACGGTCGAAACAGTTGCGATACGGCAGGTAAAAACAGGAAAAGAAACGGAAGTTCAGTTCAAGCGAAAATACGCAAAACCTTGAACTTCTTCGGTAAATATTAGGACCACTCTTCGGACAGCAGCAATTTGGGGCAAAAAAAAAAAAAGTAATATAAGGATTAAATATTACAGATTTGTCTCCAACGTAATATGATGCATGGAAGTGTTTGTTTCATAGTCGTTAACCTTCGAAAGAACTAAATTTATGACGAGATAAAATGTGGATGTGTAGGGACTTACGCATGTGATCTTTTTGACCTCGATAAGACATGTATATTGAGCTTGTATGCTGTGTGGTGAAATTAGTTCAAATGCTAGCAGTCAACTGAGAGGCTGGTTTGCTCTTCGAGACGTGGTGTACTTTTAATAAACGACGGCAGTGCTTTCATGAGAATTTAACTTAGCGCGAATTAATTATGATTTTCTCGCGTAGATATTTTTAACCAGAGAAGGAGCTTGCTGAATTTCAAATTTGTGCTTTCTGTAAAGAGAAATCTGCTTCAAGCGAGGAATAATATTGCTAGCGTAAAGCTACTTGAAGCACACAAGTTTTGATAGACAGTACATTACAGGCCGTCTTAATGGTGTTCCTAAGTAGTCCCCAGAAGATGACCGAAATTTTTCTGCATCGTGTGAATCCAATTTATTATTCTGATTATTCTGATACATTGGTTTCATTCCACGGCAGAGAACACTGTTTTCTGTCTTGAAATATCATTTGTGCTTTTTCTTTCACATTTGTGGCTTTAAATTTTGAAGCCTACCTGGTGAAAGAGGATAGAAGTCCAAAAATTGGCACTTCATAGGTGCGTTGATTGATATCTGGGTGTCACAAAAAGAGGCCCGATTTTATGCCATACTCCCAGTTACACAGCTACAAAAAGATTTTGAGTTGGTGTATATGCAACGCATTTTATCAGAAGACAAAAGTCATCAGCATTCGAACATGGATATTATATCCAGTGTGAGTATTACACTTATAAAAAAGAAGGGTTAATTATAGGAGATTAATGTAGTTTTCTTTTCAGAGTGGCCTTGCATAACATTTTAATGGTTTGTATATTATATACCAGATGAAAATTCTGCAATAATGAACAAGAATGTTGAGCTCAGTAGCCACTACAAATTGATGTTATGCACATTACAGTGATTAGCTGAGGTTGGAATTATTTGTAATATAGATTCCCCCATTATTTCAGTTTATTGAGAACATGGATGTCTGTTACAAACAGTCAAAAGAAATTTTCTTTTAAACCACTTTTCTTGATGCTGTGAAGCCTCAAAATTGTAAGGTACTTGAGGAGTTTCATTCTGGTTCATTTAAATTAGGGCAGCAGGATGTGAAGAGCAAAGTAGCAATTTGGAGGTTAGGTACCATCTAAGCCTTTGCTGGGTTTTCATGAAGTTTGTGTCAATTATATAGCAAGCTTTAAATGGGGATATTATTTTGTGCATGGTTCAGTGTGGGTTGGCTGTGAACAGTGACTTTTACTGCTCCTGTCTACCGAACAACACCGGGTCACATCCCAGCAGACTGTAATCTTCATGCACATAATTAATTACTTTTATGTTATGTTATTATTATTACATAAAATTTTTGTTTATTTTTCAGTATCCCCTACTGAAATCATTTCTTGTGGGGTCTTTTTCTGGAACGTTCTCAACTATACTGTTTCAACCACTGGACTTGGTTAAGACTCGACTGCAAAATCCAACACCAAAAGCCTTTGGGTAAGTAAGAAAGTTAAAATCAGTTATGAAGTAACCATTTTAAAGCCTCTCCATTTGGTCACATTTGACTTGATTTATTAATTTAATTAAAATTTAAATCAGTGGAGAGAAGTTTGACTTGAGGTCCATATGGCAGTGATTATAGTTTTTCGGGTTGTAATGCTATGTAGATTTGACACAGCCCAGTGCTGTGGGGGAAACATATCTGACTTGAGCTTGCCTCCCACTTCTGCTGGTTTCTTGCTTGTCTAAACTCTTTGACCCGGAAGATGTAGGTGATATGTTACTCTAAAACATGGGACTGTCTCCACGCTACATGGAATTACAGCGTGGAATACTGTACTCTTCAACGAATACACGTATAATGTTGGATTTTTTTCTTTGTTCCTATTATAAACCTCCATATTATGTTGTGTTTTAACTTACCTTGCAGAATGGCTCATTCAGTTCATTTTCGTTTGTTTTCAGGGCCCAGCAAGGGCAGTCATGTGGAATGACAACAATTATAGGCCATATTCTGCAAAAGGAACACATCTTTGGGTTGTGGAGGGGCATGACCCCCGTAAGTGTCATTTCACATTAATACCATTGTCATTAGAAGAGATTCCATGATCAAAATAAGGACCATTCAAAGCTTGAAACAAAATGGGTACATAAGTCCAGAGAATTCTCTGCTAGGGAGTGCACCACTTTTAAAACAATGGAAATAATTGGACTTGGGGGGGGGGCTGAGCCCTTCTCGAGGAGAAGCCAAATCTGCAGCTACTCAAGAATTTCCCAGTATTTTATGGAACCTGTACCATGTTCACAAGAATCCTCCACTGGTACCTATCCTGAGCCAGATCATCCAATCATAGCATCCCATCATATATCTCTAAGATCCATTTTAATATTGTCCACCCATCTATGCCTTGGTCTTCCCAGTGGTCTCTTTCCGTCTGGCTTTCTTTTCAATATCCTATATGCATTCCTCTTCTCCCCCATTCGTGCTACATGCCCTGCCCACCTCATCCTCCTTGACTTGATCATTCTAATTATACTTGGAGAAGAGTACAAGCTATGAAGCTCTTCATTATCTAATAAGTATAAAATCCCACTGTCTCGATCATGACTTCTTAGCACATATGCAGGTTTAGTCTCTTCAGGAAAATATTATTCCTAGCTTCATATATCCCAACCTTCCTTTCTTTTATGTATCTCTTTTATACTTTATCCACTACATTTATTTGTCTCCTGTTGTCTTTCATCTCTTTTTCCACCTTTTTCATGACAAAACACTTTAGGTGAATGTCACTCAAAGGCTTTTTTAATTATTGAAGATGTGAGGATACGCCCGCATTATCAAACATTGCATCGGGACTGTTTGATATGAACTCCATGAATCAGACATTGAGTGTAACTATTTCCTCTGTGAATTCAGTGTACAACTTCCCCAAGCTTGACATCATAAATGTCTTTTGTTTATAAAATTGAATTACAGAAGTGTACTTGTGTTTCAGTCGCTCACCCGCTGTGTGCCAGGCGTGGGGCTCTACTTTTCCTCCCTCCACTGGCTAAAATCGAATGTATCATCCGATGACCCAGGGCCAATTGAAGCCATATGTCTGGGCATGCTGGCTCGATCACTGAGTGGAGTGTGCCTCATACCGATCACTGTCATCAAAACAAGGTTTGAGGTAGGTCCTCCCATTGGTCCAAGATTCAGTTCATACCATGCAGAAAACACCATGTCTCCATTACAAACACATTGTTTTTTGTGAGAATCATACAAAACACATAATGTTGAAGCATGTGGCACACACATTTTCCACTGTACTTTAACCCTTTGACGTGGTCATTTAAATTCCGCGGCCGCGGCTCCTGCGGTAATATATTCAGCCGGCCATTTAAATTTTGCTCGAAAATTATTTATTCATCATTGTTCTTAAATTCTATGAGATAGGAACATGAAACTTTCACTAAAATGATCTTAAATGGTGGTTTTATAACCTTACCTTATAATATGGGCGCCCTGTATCTCGGCCATGGAAGCAGGTTGTTTAGTATTTCAGCAGTGAATGGTACGCCTTGAAGGATGAAACTTTCACTAAAATGATCTTAAAAGGTGGTTTTATAACCTTACCTTATAATATGAGCACCCGGTATCTCGGCAATGCAAGCAGGTGACGCCTTGAAGCATTAGTCTAAACACAGCGCTGGCTCACATTCACCAAACAAATACTGCGTATCTTTTCTTTTGCTCTTTTTTTTAACCACACAGCTTCTGTGCGGCCTAGCCCTCTTCCCCGTGAGGGGTCTAGTTCAAGGAAATGTCCTTCCGTGAGCAGTAAAGCTAGTCAGGTCAGCTGCAGTAAATTCAACGTTACGAGTTATCATAACAAGGGGTTGTTGCTATGCCTTTGATATTCCATCCATTTTGGCGGCTGTAGATGTCGTAGGGGTGACCACAGAATTCATGAAGTTATTCTAAGTATTGGCTGGTATGTAGCGCACGAAAGCAGAGCCTAGCTGGCTCAAAAAAATATTTATGGTCATCCCTCGAAACGACCACCAAGGTCAGTACGATAAACTGGCGTCAGCTGGAGCGATAATACATGAAGGAATGAGTTCTTTTCCCTCCCCCACACACATCCGTATCGTCTCAGGGGGTGACCACAGTGTTCTGCCTTAATTCGTGACGTTTTTCTAAGAACTGGGTGCTATATACTGTGCGAAATCAATGGATCATGCGAGAATAAATTACTGGACACCCCTCTTCTAAGAATTCCAATTGAGTGTGTTTGTGTGGCCAGCTCAGGGCAATATTATATTATAAACATCACGTCTCTGTTGTTTATATCTTCAAAGCAAAGAAAACACGCCTTTCATAACAGCTTGAACAGGAACCTCTACCAGAAGCAACAGGAACTTTGCTGCAAGACAGGTATATGTAACGATGACTTGGCGCAGATAAAGTCGTGTCTTATTTATACTCTGTTCTACTGACAACAGGCCAGCGAAAAATCTAACAATCTACAGCAAAACCATCAATTATTATGGGCGTTATAACATAGGTGTGCAGCTGGACGAAACATACACGTCGAACCCCCCCAGACGATTTAAATCCCTGACGAAACATACACGTCGAACCACGGGAACGGGTTAAGCATTTCATAGACCAATTACTGTGTGGCTTTACACACTGGAAATATTTTGGGTAAGGTTTGTGTCAGAATAAGCAAGGGATGCCTTGTGTGCTACTGCAGTCTTATTTCTTAGAAAGTGACTCCTTGGTTCATACAGCGAAATACACAGTAGAATTTGGGTTGGATAACCTTGTGGGTTGTGACATCTTAATACTCATAGGGGGATACAAGTGCTTCATAGGAACCTGTTGCCTTCAAGTTTATGTTTAGCCTTGAAGATGGAGGCATTATGTTTCTCTGAAACATTTGTATCTGCCTGTAAGCCTAGGTAGTGCCACAACCTGCAAGACCACAATCTGAATAGTCACTGCTATGAAAATCTCAAAGTTGATATCTTCTGATCTGTCACATTTTTTTGGTAACGGGTTGTGACAGTTGGGACGTCATGGATACCAAGTACACCAGACACACTGTCAGACTGTAGGAGACTCACCACTGTGACGAATCTGAAAACACGTTTGCAAGTGTAATGTATTGTGATTGCAGAGCGGTGTCTACCAATATGGGGGCATGACTGAAGCCTTAAAAATTATCTACCGTACTGAAGGAGTTCGTGGACTGTGCTGCGGACTTGTGCCTACATTATTCCGGGATGCGCCATTCTCGGGCCTTTACTTCATGTTCTACACGCAGACCAAGTGCATCGTGCCATACGGTGAGGGACGGACAGAAAGTATCCAGCGTCTTCAATCTTCCATCAGTCTTTCCTTTTGAATTTCTTTCCAGTTCTTTCTTCTCTTCCTGATGTCTCCCAGTCCACAGTTGAACTTTCACAAGACATAATCACGGAAAGAGAGTTTCAGTTTGAAATTTAATTTTATTCTTCCTCAAAATTGGTTCTCACAAAGTTAAGAGAATGGTCATGGCTCATTCTGAAACTGACAGTATCATGTTTTTTGGGATGTGAAGTAATATTTACCACGTGGAAACCTAAATTTTGTTTCCACTTTGTTAATTATTTCCTTGCTGAGGTGCTTTTTTATTTCTACTAATACTGATAATACTAATAATTTCTATACTATACTAATAATTTCTACTGACAGATTACTGATGATGAATTTATGATAAAGAAGTGGCAGGTGACACTGTAAAATAACATAATCTGACCCAAGCCAACGTGTGAAAGTATGTGTTTGTAGCATAGGAAGGGTTAAACTGACAGTCACTCATCTCTATTGATTTGGTTCATCCTGGTCCGTCACACTGGCAATATTACAAAAGGATTATCCACCCCATCTGGTGTGACTGATGAAATGTTTTTTTTTCTTTCTATCATGAAATGGTAGACAGCCAACTTCCTATAAAGAGAGACAACATAAAGGACAACCAAATTGGTCCTAAAACTTTTAACAAAATCAATTTTAAACCACACTCGTAAACAGACTAATTACAATAATTTATATATATTGTAACGTGTTTACGTTACCGGAGACGCCGTAGAGATGGTTAACTGGTTTATTTAACAATCTACAACTATCGGCTACACTTAATTATCACAACGTTACGGGTTTCCACAGTTTACAAACCCTACAACAAAATCTCTCAACACAGTCTTCACTTATCTTCACGTACTACTAACGTGGGAGCTATACAAGTCTCCCTGAAATACACACTCCGAGTATAACTGTACTACAGCAATCACTATGTCTTGAAAGCACACAATACGTCTTCCGCTCGCTGACTTCTTAGTTATCGCACACTCGCAGGCTGCTATGTTTCAACT